GATTGGATCAGACTGGACCTTTAGTATACGCCTGTCCATTCATCACTTGCTCTCCGAGCATTTGTTGCTGTTCTTCTCCAGGTCAACTCCATTCTCTGTGTTATCTCTCTTGGACAAAATTTCCAGTCTTCTGCTACTGAAGACAAGAAGGAAAGAGGAGAATATGACACTTTTCACATCCTGTTTTCTGACATATTTCTTTTTTCTTGAAATTTGCACCTTTGGATTTTTTTTTTTTGCCTTAGATTCAGTGGTCCAAGTACCCACCTCAGCTGGGGAGCGGCTGCCCCTGTGTCATCTGGCAGGTCGGTGCCACGGGTCTCAGGCAGCAGGAAGCAGAGCAGACCCCCCACCACAGGGGCACTCCCGAAGATGGCCATGGGGATGGCCCGGTGGTACTGGCCCAGGAGGCGGATCAGTGGGGCCATGATCCCTGCCACCCGCGCCGACATGGAGCACAACCCCACACCGGTCTGCCTGGGGGAGAGGGGCAGTGGGAGGTGTGGGCAGGGGTCAGCATCCCCTGGGCCACCATGGGACTGAGGGTAACCATGGGGACAACCGAACTCTTATCCCACCATGGCCCTGGTGGAGGGATGCTCCGGGGAGACCTCACCTGACAACTGTGGGGAAGAGCTCTGCGGAGTAGACGTAGGAGGTGGAGAAGGAGGCTGTGGCTGGAAATTTGCCAATGATGGCCCGAATGATGGCCAGGACAGTTGTTGCTACAGGCTGGGCTGAGGGAAGGAGGAGAGACCACTGCTGTGACTTCCATATTGGGACCAGAAGTCTCTGCAGTGGGATTTCTTGGGACAGCCCTTTCTAATGGACTTACCAAGCAAATCTACTGCCTAACTCATTGGAAAACATTCCTAGTGCACCCTTTCCTGGAAAATAACCTCTGGACAACGGGTGAAGAGAACCCATATTTCTCCTGAGGCCTTGGACATTTCCTACATCTCCATCTGGAGTGAGCCACTGAGCCACCACAGATCTTTGAGGAGTGCTGGGTTGGAAATATCAGGTCCATGAGCTTGGAAGCATCATGCAGCCCCTCTCTTGCCTTCAGCCTTAATCACAGCACTAGGACAGCAGCAGGGGTGAGGGTATGGACTGTGGCAGAAACAGATCAGGGGGAGGCATTTGATTTTCCTGTTCATCTAAAGAAGGGAGACATGGTGGCTTTTAAAACGCCTCTTCTGTTACACCTTTCTGAGAGGAGGTGGTGGTGTCTAGTAGGTGGTAGTGTGTAAAGGACACTGCCTGCCAAGGGCCAGGAGCTGTGGAAGGACCAGGCACAGCTCTGAAGGAGAAGAAAGTCATGCAGAGAGGAACCCAACAAGTTGGGAGTGCAACCCCTTGGGCAGTTCATCTCCTGGGAGTGATTGTGGGTCTGTGACTAGCTGGGCTGGGAGGATGGGTCTGAACCAGGAGCTCTGCCCGGCTGTGTTCTCGGGTTGGGAAGAGGTTGTTCACCTTCAGGGATACCAGTGATGACAAGACATAACAGGCCAGACAGCAGCAGGAGAACACCTTGGGTTTTCTTCCTCCCAAACCACTGCAGCAGGAAAATGCAGCAAAGTCGAGCTGGTAACTCCACCGCCCCAAAGGCAAGCTGCGTCAGGTAGATGTCCAGACCAAAACTTGTCACGCTAAGGCTCAGCCCATAGTAGACAAGACTGTCTGCAAACCTAAAATTCGAGTAAAGTAGAATAGAACATGTAACCAGATGGATTTTCTGGGGGTTTATCTTCAAAAAATTAGGGTGGTTAAACCATATACAACCAATTTACACTCCCAGCAATCTCTGTTTTGCTTCTAGTCACTACCTGTGACAATTCTGTAGGGTGTAGCTACATGAGATAAAGCTGAATAGATCCCCATATGGTCAACAACTTTTAGGTTGCACCAAGAACTTCTAGGGGGTCACAAAACTACCCTAAGGTCCAGGGATTGCCAAAAGCTGGAATTATTTTGACCTTCCTCACAAACCCACTGTATCGTGAATAATCAGCTTCTCCGATGCTCCCCAGGCAGATCTGGTCCAGTATGGAAAGACAGAAAGATAGCAGATGAACACATAGACATAAACATGACACCAAAAATCACATGAAGTGACTTTACAGTTCTTTTCAACCCTCTGTCCCTTCTGTTCTTCACCTAGAAGTTCACAAAGAGGGCACAGGGGGATGTCTTACCAGGTGCACGCCATGATTAAAGTC